AGACCCAGACTCCGTGGGGCCCAGGAACTCGCCCCCCGCATGCCGGTTCCATGCCAGCTGCCCGCCCCCGCCCGGTGCCAGGAGGCACGCCGTCACCATCCTACATCCCTTCTAAAGAGTTTCGGCTACTGACCAGCTGGCGGCGTTCAAAATGAAGAGACAGCACACACCATGGAAAATGAAGAACACTGTATGTTTATTAATGTTTATTTCAAATTACAAGAAACAGATCACCAGTCCCTTATTGGTACAAAAATACCTGAAAGTGTATACTTAGGTTCATGAGCTGAGGAGCTATGTACAAAGAGGAGCAAAGCACATGAGTAGAGCTTGTCCCTGCACCTTCTGCACGCCTGGACCGCGGCTCGCCGACATCACACTCTCCTGCGAGCGAGTCCCACCCCCGAAAGGTGAGACGGCTGGTCAGACTGCCAGGTGTCACGTGCAGAGGAGAGAAGACAAGACTTCTAGACTGAGGCACATATTTCTTCAAAGTTTAGCAAACAAAAAAGCATCCTGGAACTCTCCCCCCAGCACGCTGGGGGCGCGACACCCGGAACACCGGCGTCTTCCTTCTCGATTTAGCCCAGGCTGTTACACGAGTATCACTTAGAAAGAAAAGAAATCACAGGCAGATAAAAACCCAACAGGCTCCCAACGACCCTGAGCTGTCCCGTGTACATTCACGTCACCGAAATACAAAAATAAAGGCCGAATGTCTTCAGCCCCTGGCTGGCGGGTGGACGCGGCCTCGTCCAGGGACCGGCTGCTGTCGGGGGGCCCTCCCGGCTGGGCAGGGCACGGACGCCCTGTGCCAAACCTGCACTCGCCGTCCATCCACGGAGGCCGGGAAGGTGCCAAGGGCCGGGCACACAGCTACATGCGAAACTGAGTCAGAGTCGGGCTCCTGCTGTCCTTTAAATAAAACGCGTGCGTATAAATATGAAATGCCGCAAACACTAGCATCTACGGGGGAGGGGGGCGGGCCTCGTCTCACGGCTGGGCCTGGTCTACTCAACAGGAAAGGCCGGGACCTGGCCCGGCTCAGGGGTCGCCTCCAGCCAGTGAGGGGTGGCGGCGTCAGAGTCAGTCCCGCGGTGGTCCGGGCAGCGCCCGCCAGCACAATGGGAGGCCCGCCTAAGGTCAATGCTATGAAAGATAAACTGGGTACAAAAAAGAAAACACAATTGAGTAACTATAGCTAAAAACGTCTTACTAAAACTTCTTCATCTGCATAAATGGACAGGCACAGAAAACAACCAGAGTGTGGCCTGTAGAGTAACAGTTTCCCCTCCACTGACTGACCCACGGTGCGGCCCGAGGCCGGGCCTGTGTTTCGGGGGCCCCGCGGTGGGTCGGGGGCACATGCAGAGGCCAGTCAGCGGCGGAACTGCTACTAGACAAGAAAATCACTTGCACCACAGAGGGCTGTGTGCTCGTCAGAGACCAAAGAAGAGAAAGACACGGCCACTCTCAGACCTGGGGACACCCCTCTGGGCCGGGCACCGTCCGAGCGGCCCCGGAGCGGGAAGCAGTGTCCTGCTGACGAGGCTGGTCCACGTCCCCAGCTGCTGTGAGGGACGAGGCGGCAGAGGCCGCCAGCTGCCTCCCGTGCCGGGGTCTCAGGCCGGGGGCATCAGGCACAGGCCGCAAAGCTGGGCCAGGACGTGCCCTTTCAATGTTTCCATCCTTGTCACCATGGAAACCCAGGAATCCAGGCCTGGAACATGGTGCCCTTTCAATATTTCCATCCTTGTCACCATGGAAACCCAGGAATCCAGGCCTGGAACATGGTGCCCTTTCAATATTTCCATCCTTGTCACCATGGAAACCCAGGAATCCAGGCCTGGAACATGGTGCCCTTTCAATGTTTCCATTCTTGTCACCATGGAAACCCGCCAATCCGGGCAGGGACATGCCCTGTCAATGTTTCCATGCATGTCACTATGGAAACCGGAATCTGGGCGGGGACATGCCCTTTCGACGTTTCCATCTGTGTCACCATGGAAACCCAGGAATCAGGCCTGGGACATGGTGGCCTTTCAATGTTTCCATCCGTGTCACCATGGAAACCCGCCAATCTGGGCGGAGACATGCCCTTTCAAGGTTTCCATGCATGTCACCATGGAAACCCGCCAATCTGGGCAGAGACATGTCATTTCAATGTTTCCATCCGTGTCACCATGGAAACCCAGGAATCAAGCCTGGGACATGGTGCCCTTTCAATGTTTCCATCCGTGTCACCATGGAAACCCGCCAATCTGGGCAGAGACATGTCATTTCAATGTTTCCATCCGTGTCACCATGGAAACCCAGGAATCAGGCCTGGGACATGATGCCCTTTCAATGTTTCCATCCGTGTCACCATGGAAACCCGCCAATCCGGGCGGGGACATGCCCTTTCAAGGTTTCCATCCGTGTCACCATGGAAACTCACAAATCTGGGCGGAGACATGGTGCCCTTTCAATGTTTCCATCCGTGTCACCGTGGAAACCTGCGGGTCTCTGCAGGAAGCTAAGCGGGTGACATTTTCTTATCAGAACCTTGAGTCCCCAAGGGAGGACAGCCATGAAGAGACTCAGGCCACCGCAGGGTCAGGCGGTGATCCTTCTAGAACAGGCGGCAGGTGAGCCGGCGGACGGACCACGGGCAGACGAGAGTAGCAGAGTCTCAAGAAAGCTGCCTGTCTCCAACCAGCGGGGGACTCGGCCCTGCGGGCGTGGCGTGGGGCGTCCCCGGAAACGAAGGCTCCTGGCTGCGGAAGACGGGCACCTGGGAGCACGAGCGCGGCACCTTGTGTGGAGAGCGAGTGGCGGACGTGGCTGCTGACTGGTCCACGAAGCTGTCCGATGCCGACCACAGGCGACGCCTGGGCTTTTTAGAAGCTTTTCCGGTAAACGGGGAAGGCGAGGGTGCCGATTATCCGGACGCCGAAGCCGCCTGCGGTGACCTGCAGGCGGGCCCGCCCTCCGATACCTCTGTGCTCCGTCGGCAACGTGTGCCCGTCCGCTTGAAACTGTCTCTCCGTCTTGTATGCGCTGCACAGCCGTGTCCCCGCCACCAGGGGCTGAATACAACATTGAAAACAAGGAGTGCAAAAAAAGGGATCAATACAAAAAAGTAAACATGTCAGTTTCAATTGTCAAGATTATTCCAGGGCAAGAGTTTATTTCCAATCACTGCTACGACTCTCACGTGGCCCCGCCAGGACGCTCCTTCCAGTTTTCCTCAAATTTAGCACTCGCTCTTTCAGCCCCTGATTTGGCTGGCAGGGTCCGAGCCACAAATCACCGTTACATCCAAGGACTATCCAATATTGGGGGTTGGCACCAAGGGAAACGATTCCGCTCCCCAGGTACAGAATCAAAGTGTGTTTTCAACCTGCACAGGCCTCCTACTCCTTCCAGTGTGAGCTCCCTCCAGCCACCAGCTCAGGCGGGTCTGGGGCCACCAGGCCACGTGGGTGCGCCCCAGCCGCCGGGCCGCGCCGGGCGAGTCACAAGGCCACGCGGACGCAGTGGTGCTTGAGCTTGCAGGGCAGCACCCCCTTGTTGAGCTGGTAGAAGTCGACGAGCTGGATCAGGTCGGAGAACTTGGTGTTCCCGTCGTCCAGGCTGAAGAACACCTGCCCCTCCTCCTCACACTAAGAGAGACAAGACACTCCCAGGTTAGAGCCACAGGGGCCTGGCCGGCACAGGCCCGCGCCCCCCTCGCGGGCAGGAAACAGCTCCCCCTTCCAGAAAAGCCTCCGGGACACCCTTTAAGCATCTCCCCCCGTGAGCGTGGACAGTCTGACATTGACTGCTCTGCAGTCCGGTTAGTTTATAACCTGAAAACTGCATTAAGAATAAAACCAGCAGAAACGAGGATTAGCAGGATGACAGCAATACTCACAGGTAAGATCTGGAAATTTTTGATTTTCTGGTGGTGGCTCAGCGTGAGCACGTAAGCCTTGGGGTTGCTCTGGCTGTCGCGGACCAGGAAGAGCCTGGGAAGGGAAGGTGACTGACCGTCAGTGTGAAACTCCAGACTCAGTGCGCACACCTGCCCATGCGCGCGTGCAACCACACACACACACACACACACGCACACACGCACACGCGTGCACAGGCACACACACACACACGCACACACCTGCCCATGCGCGCACACACGCACACACGCACACACACACGCACGCACGCTTCCCCGGGAGCCACGGTGCTCAGGGCCTCGGCGTGCGCTGGCCTCTGTGCAGCAGCACCCGCACACCCAGGCCGGGGACTCTCACATCGCTCCCCGAGGACCCAGGGCTCCCTGCGGCTCAGGGGAAGGGGGTGCGGCTGGAACACTCGGTCCGTGGGGTGAGGAAGCTCAAAGGTGACGGCCAAAGGCAGCCTGGCCAGATCTGGGCAGAGAGTGAACAGCAGGGATGGACGGACCCAGGTCAGCAGGGACCAGGAGTCTGCCATGAAGAAAAGGCTCCTCCTCAGAGCAGAAGGCGGGGCCGGAAGCCAGCCAGGCCTCGCGGGAAGGCAGGCAGAGCTGCAGGGCGAGCGGCGACAGCATCGCAGAGGGAAGGAGCAGCCTCCGTGGGGCGCCCTGGGCCACGTCCCCTCACAGGCCAGGCCCTCCACGGGCGGGGACGTCCACCCTGGACGCCCCCAAGAGACTCCGAGGATGCCTCAGCAGCTCTCCTGTCCCAAATGCGACACCTGACTCACCAGCCCAAGGCACATTCTAGAAGAACTGGCTTCTGCTCAGAACCAGGGTCATGGGAGGCAGAGGCAGACGAGGGAGACGCACCAGCGCAGGGGAGGGTCAGGGTGAGCCCTGATGGTGGGGAGCATGCACCTCGGATGAGGCTGCACCCCGTTAGGCTGCTCGGCAGGAGCCCTGCGGGCGGTGGGGGTGCATGTGTGGGGGCCGCAGCCCCTCCTGGGTGTATTTCTTGCCCTCACTCTCCTCCAGGTGTGAGTGGAGGCCACTACCCGGCTGCCCTGTCCTGTGTTGCCCTGCGGAGCTGACACCAGGGGCAGAGTGTGCTGATCTAGCCCCTGTGCGGGCGAGGAGTGGGTGGTGAGCTCTGCAGGGACCCACCGCTGCGGACCCGCTGCTGCAGGAGCCGCCCCCTCAGTCACAGGCTGCACCCCACCCCTGGCCAGTGCCCCCAGGGATGCCGAGTGGATGTGGCCAGGCTTAGCCCTGGGGACCTCGAGGGCCCTGGGAGGGCCATAGCGCCAATGACGCCAGGAGATGTGCCCAGTGACCCCGTCGCTATGGCGACTAGCCAGCGTCAGCCACCAGAGGCGCAGGAAGCCATCCCAGCCCGGAGCTGGCCCAGGCGAGAGAGAGAGGACCGAGAGAGAGGACCCGGGTCGGCTGTGGGCTGGGCCGTGTGCTCTCCGCGATGCTGACGGGGGGCACACAGGTGCCCAGCGCCTTACTGATCAGAGTGACTGGCCTGTGCGCTCCCTTCAGCACAGGCGGCTCGGTGACAGCACGCGCAGAAATGGCGACCCTCACTGGTGGACAGGCCTCGTGCAGCACACGCCCTGCGTGCCCTCGTCTGCTCAGTGCGGACCTCCCTCTGCCCCGCCCAGGAGTGAGGCCGGGACGGACC